GGCGGGCCTTAATAGGTCCCCCCCTGATTATGCATCATGCATGCAACCATGAAAACTATTGATCTACCATTAGGGTAGAGGTTAGGTGCGCATATATCTTCCCTCCAAACCCTACTTCTGAGTGGGACATACCGAGTGTGCTTGTTTTGGTTCTTTTTTTAATCATGCATTCAACGACTCAATCAGCCGGTATACGGTGAGAAAGGGCTCCGATAGAGATTTTTGATTCTTATTTGTGGTATATAATGTAGGGGAAGTTCTAATAAGAAGACCAACTATTTCATGTATTATTCATAATGAATAATCCCGAATAATCATGAATATTATACATCATAAGTTTGAGCAAAAGGTTGATTACCGACAACATTGACCGGCCCCGCACACTACCCGACTCCTAGGAACCGCATGTGAGGAGGCATTTCAAAGCTGACTCAGCAGTTGAGACTAGCAGAGGGATTCAATCCTGTCACTTGCAGGCAGTGGCGAACTTGCATAGTAGGTAGGGGGGATGGGACCCCATTAAAAAAAATTAAAAATTTACTACGGTTAAAAAGTAAATTTTTTACTACTTTTACTTTCTATCCCCCCTAGTAAATTTTTGCAAGGGACCCCACAACACTAGAAATCAATCAAAAAGATCTCTTGAAATCAACCAAGCCAAAAAAGTTTCTTGAAATCAATCAAAAAACCCGAAAAAGTCGTTCAAAATTGACAAAAACACTAAAAATTCCCTTGAAATCTACCAAAAAACCTTTAAAAATCCCTTGAAACGGTGTAATTTGGCTAAAAACACGTCGGACGACTTTGCAGACCTTTAGTCTACCTTAAAGGTGGCCCCACCAGGTAAAAATCCTGGATCCGCCAATGCCTACATGATTCGAACTTGAACTTGTTGTGTATTTGAGCAAAGTCGTTTCGCCCCTTTGCCAACTGAGCTACATGCTTGAGGACGATATTATACATCATAAATATCATGCATTTTCTTGATTCATGATATTATGCATTTCCATCATGATATCATGTATCTTCACAATGAATAATTTTCATCATGAATATATCTTTCACGACATTCATCATGAATAAAAGCATTAATAGTTGGTTCTCTGGTTCACAAAATATTTACAGTTCTCTTTCAAACCTACCCCATACTACATCATGAGTATATTGTTATTAGTGTTGATTTAGGGCTTGTTTGTTAGCAGCTTAATGAGCTTAATGGGACTCGGAGCTTATTCAGTTAGCTAGATACCAGTGTTTGGTAGTGGCTTAATGATATAGAAAGTGGCTTATTCAGGAAGCTTTTAGGGGGGGATTTATGCAGAAAGCCAAGTTTTTCAAACCTATCTCTCCCAATTAAAAAACATGTTCATTCAATCTATGAAAAAACCCTTCCAAACAAAAACTTTCTCAATCTATACAGACAGATTAATGCACACAAACATCTTTATCCCTACAGGACTTGGTGGAAAACCAACCAAGCACCGCCCTTATATGCTTATAGTCCATCTAAGTGTACATGTTATCTATCAGTGACTCCATTCAACGATACTGGATTTGGTTGTTTATTGATATGATTTCCGTTTCACAGACCAACTACGATGATGAAGAGCAGATCGGAGTGCTAGATTGTGGGCACGAGTACCATGTTGAATGCGTGAAAAAATGGTTGATCGTGAAGAATACCTGCCCGGTTTGCAAATCCACAGCACTTGCTGCTGCACAAACTAAGGAGTCATAGAAACCGAAGAAATGCAAAGAGAAGCAGGAAGCCTTTGAAAAAATTTAGGCGTCTTGCTTCTCTGTTGTTATATATATAAGATATATATATATAACTAAAGAGAGGGTGTTTCTTCTCTCTATAAATTATGGTAAATATCAAAACTCTCTCGTTTTGTTTCTTTCGGGATGTGGCAGTGAGCAACTGTTAAAAAGAACGATAAGATAATCTCCGTTGGGCGTTTTGTCGAACCTTTTGTACAGACTTTTTTTCCTGTTGGTTCACTCAGTGGATGATCTGTCTGTTGGGTTCATATGTACTTATGAATGTTAATATCAGGTTGAACATTCATTCACTCTGTTTCTGTTTGATATGAGTTTCTGGTGCTTGTTTTCCATCCATTTGGTCTTTTTTTTTTTTGCTATGTTTGTACAGGTTCAAATGAAAACCATAAATATTTTGAGAACCTGAAAACTAATCATGCCAGTATTATTCATGAAGAATATATATATATATATATATATATATATATATATATATATATATATAGAC